TTCAGCTTTAATAACAAACGCAACACCAGCAAGGAACGAGATTAGCACAGGACCCTCAAAGGGCTAACCACTCCTTCAGAAAACCAATCAGCTGCTGGTAAGAGTCAACAAGGAAGCTGTCTTTCTTACCAAAGGCTCTGGATTAGAAGGATATGAGACACACACACACACACCACCTAGGAAAGTACCCCCTGGACAGGCCAGCCTACACACTGGGTGAAACTTTGAGTTTATCTGGTCTATTTTGTCCAAGAATCCCCAAGGATTTATGTTATATTGCTGGCTTCTTCAAACACAAAACCAACTTACAGGCACATTCTCAACCGCATCACACAGGAGATTCATCAATAGCTCCCATTTGAAATGAACTCACACTGCAAAACTTCAAACACATAAGCAGGCACCATCCATGGAGAGCTAGAATCCACAGGCACTGGGTTGATGCCATCTCACAGCAACCCTATAGGTCAGAGTTGAACTGCCCCTATGTCTCAGAGGCTAACTCTTTACAGGAGTAGAAAGCCTCTTCTATTTCCTGAAGAGCAGTAGTGGTTTCAAACTGCTGACCTTGTAGTTCACAGCTCAACACATAACCACTACATCACCACGGCTCCTGAATTACGCTCTAAAACTCAGAAACTATCGAATGGAGTCACTAACATTAAGGGCACAGCAAACTTGAGAAAAGCAATGATTATTATTCTAAGATGACCACTAAGTGATATGACTAATGCTTTTAGAAACAAGAAATTGGTCATTAGCAAGATGCCTCTCTTCAAAGATGTAGAAGTAAATAACTAGATATAAAGGATTACCAAAATAGTTTAACTAGCAAGTCCAAGAAGCTTGAAAATTTTTGAGTTTCTGGAAAGTAGACTGAGTCTATCTCCAGATTTCAACGTTTCCCCTGAAAAATGGTGGGTCTTCTGCTTCCACTCTTCTTTTTGTGCCCTCTGTGGTCTGCCCTTTGATTTCCTGCCCCTGGAGTATAACCTTCACTCGTGACAGCCCAGGTAACACCAGATTAGGAGTAAGAAAAAAACTCACACTGCAGTGAAATGACATCTTTTCACTGCAACAGTCCCTTTATGTCCCTTATAAATTACTTCTCTTTAGGTAGCATAAGTCTGGGTAAAATGTCATACTAAAATTTTAATGACGGCTGCAATTTTTCCCTAACTTTTTCCATAACAGTTTTTGTCATAGCTTTTTCATAACTTTACATTTATTTCACAACTGATTTTCTACCATTATCATTTGAAAATAGAAGATAGGCTTTACTGATAAAAAGACGAAAAATTCCATTAACTATTTCAAACCAAAAATGTTTTTGAAAAATGTTATAAATAGCTCTTCATACAATTCCTTTTAGGAAATATGTATAATTCAAAGTTCTGAAACAATGTATCTGCTCACTCAAGGAGCCTACTCATGTTCCTCTGAGCATTACGCTAAGGTTGCTTGATAAAACAAAGGCACTCACAATTGAGAAAGAAAAACCTCTGTAAAGAGGTCTGTGAGCAAATTAATGATGCAACTTAGGAGAACACAGTATGGGTTTAGGAAATGGATCCAAGAGGCTGATTTCTATGCCAAGTAGTCAGAAGTCATACCTGCCTCAGCCGAGTCATCATGCGGTGTGTGCACCCAATCTAGAAAACCTAGAAATGAACTTACTAGAAGCCACTGTGGAGCAAGTACAGATCCACCCACTCCCCACCCACCCCGCTCCCTCCTGCATCTTGCTCTGTTTCGCCTCCTTCTCTAGGCCTAGCTTGTGTTATTGTTGAGCTCAGGTGACAGGTACCCATGGACCCTCCATCTCTTAGGTAGGAAATGAAGGGGAGGTACACATGTACATCCTTGGGTAACACTGGGATCCTGTGGTGGACCAGTTCATCACAAGAGGTCACAGGAGAAGTAGCCATAGATTCACTCCACTGCTGCAGTGCCTGCAGGGATATGTTGCTCTGTATGTGTCCAGATGTATGTCTTGCTTAATCACATCAGGCAGTTTTTTTCCACTAAACCCCTTCCTTTATCCACCAATCAGCTCAGTCCCACCTTCACCCAACCCCATTTTACCTGAACAGATTCTATTGGTAGAGGAGCTCCAGGTTCAGCTTGTGTAGGTGACCAGCCTGTATCAGGAGGGGAGCCAGAGATGTGCACACAAGGTCCGTAAGGTCAATATGGGGGTTGGATTTTAGCACGCTGCTCAGCTAGCTGTGGAGCCCCTCAACAGAAATAACAAGATATATCTGAAAGATATCTTGTCAACTCACAGTGACCCTATAGGACAGGGTAGAACTACCACTGTGGGTTTCTGAGACCGTAATTCTTTGTGGGAGTAGAAAGCTCCACCTTTCTCCCACATAACACCTGGTGGTTTCGAACTGCTGACCTTGGGTTAACACTAATGCCACCAGGGCTCCTAAATAGCAAAGGAAGTAAAATAAGCACAACTGGATACAAAAGTTGCATTTATAGTATTTGTTGTCCTGAGATTTCAAATATTTTATTAATATTAGGTGAGTTTTCTGTTAGAAACATCAACCACACACACTAAAATGTTGTCTTCCAAACCACTGCCTATCATTGAAGTGTGACCTGGTTAATACCCCTACCTATTTTAGAATGACCAGTTACTAATTTTTTTGTTTGTTAAATCCTTTGCCAGGGTTCCTAGTAAAAGGGATTTGATGATACAGAAAATCACTCCTTGCCTAGAAGCCTCCCTGAGGATCATCCAGTTTATACTACTACCCTTGATGTAATTATTATTAACCGATATCAAGGGTCAGATTTGTGTTGCACTTCTCCCCCTTGAAAGAGTGCTGTGTTTTTGAAACATGGTTGGTCTTGAATTACATGGTGTGCCCACGTTGCACATGTGCACATAAAAGATGAGCAGAGTAGAGATTTGGGGTGTATCCAGGAAGTTATTTGTTAGGCATATTTGTTTCACATACGTCCCCATGTCATCCTTGGTCTCACTGGCCAAAATCAGTCAGAAACCGAGTAAGGGAGGACCTTCTGCCTTGGCAGCTTAGGAAGAGCAAGGCTCAATTCAAGACCCAAACAGGCCTTCCAGACTATACTAGCTGCATACCTCTATTCAAATATTAAACGTATCGGTCAAACATCACCTACATTACAAGAGGAAATTTATTTCATATTACTAAAAAGAGAAAACACAGTCATTTTTAATACTGCCTCAAAAACACATTTGAAGAGTTTTCATCTGGAGATATTAAAAACAAAAGGCAGGGGTCAGGAGTTTTCAATACTCTGTGTCAATATGTGTTGAGGACGTTTCTAGACCTTGGTCAGTTGTGGCGTGTCATTCAGGACACAGAGAAGGAAAGGGAAAGTGTCCTCTAATGTACCCGCAGAGAAGGAAAGGGAAAGTGTCCTCTAATGTACCCAGAGAGCAGAGGGCCATCTCTGAGCCTGGGGAAGAAAAGGAGGCAGAGAGATGGGTGGAGGAGTGGCCAGAGAATGGACGATTTGGAGAGTTGTGTGGGAGCTTCCAGGAAGGCCTGCACAATAATGTTGCAGCTGAAAAGCCTCCCAGGGCTGCATCTGGGTTAGCTAGCCCTGGAAGCTGCTCAGAGCAATTATCTGTGCAAGGTCACTGGCTCATGTTTATCTCATCGCCCTGTACACACTCTGAAGCTCACATTGTCTCCATTTTGCAGTAGAAGAAACCAAAGCTACAAGAAACTCAGATGAGGAATAAATTACCACTACTTTCTGTTAAAGAGTCCCTAAATAGTGCGTAGAGTTAAGCACTCGGCTGCTAATCAAGAAGTGGGCAGTTGGAACCTACCCAGAGGTGCCTTGGAAAACATACCTGGAAATCTGCTTATGAGAAGTTACAGCCTTGAAAACGCGATGGTGCATTCTGCTTTGCACAAATGGAGTCGCCATACTCATCAGCAACTAACGACAAATTTGTGTTAGATCATCTTGAAGTACAAAAATAAGCCATTTAAAAAATCAGCACGTAGGCCCATCGAGTCATCATAGTAATACTCTTGTGGTTGCTGAGAATAAACCAAGCTAATATTTTAGATACAACAATACTGCTTTGTTTTTTCACACAAGGAGGGTTAACTTAGGAGAGGACAGCTGGTAATGACAAGACTGGCATTCTTTTTTTTTTTTTTAATCTATGGAACAGAAAGCTTTGAATCTATGCATCTCGGTTAATATAATTATTCTTGCACCCTTATATGTAAAGATTCTCTTTTGCTTCATCAGCATTGACAAATAATAATTGCTTATTTCTTGAAATAGTGTTCATATATGACTTAAAAACAGGGAATTAATATAGAGATGGAAAACATTAATTTTTGAATTATGTCCCATTTGCTTACTGAAGAGAGATGCCTATCTCATGAATGTTTGGAAATGATTATCAGACTCGTCTTACAGTTGCTTACTGTTCTATGCAACAGGGTCCTATGCGTCGAGAGAGAATTCCCTCTCATCCACGCCCTCCGTCTGGCTCTCTATCAATCTATAGATCAGCCTGGTTTTCTCTTGTTTCTTTCTAGTCAGGCTTTGGGGACCAGAAGGCACAAAAATTAAGTGGAGGGCTCTCTCTTTTCCCTCAACTGTTGCAGTGTGCCTTTGTGTGCTAAGAGGTGAAATGGAATTCACATTTAAGTCAACTACAAGCCATACATCTGAAACAATTTTCTTGAAGACTATTTCTTAGAGAATGATGAAAGACTGACAATGAAATTGTTTATAAAAATCCCTTTTCCTGAAGTAACACTTGCTTCTGAATCACCAAATGCATAAGGCTTTATGATAATAAATAGCTCATGGAATTATTTAAATAGAATCGGGGTGGGGGGGACACAGTACCACCAGAAAAATACAAATTTAAATAATGTAGATAGAATGGCAGTTTGCAGTGATGTTTGATTTGGTTTGAGAGGCACATTGGGGTAGCTCCTTGTCATGCTGTGTCTTTTGTACTGTTCAAGATTGAGGAGGAAAACCTCTATGCTTTGAGGTGGAAAGAGCTAGAAGTGCACAACCTGGCTTTGCAAAACACCCTACACGCCCAGACCTGGAATGATGAGAAGAATCTGATGCAGCAAGAGCTCCGGTTCTTGAAACAGAACATTTTCCTCTTCTACGTCAAACTCAGGTGGCTGCTGAAACACTGGCGGCAAGGTAAACGGATGGATGAAGAACGAGAAGCTTCAGCCGAGGTAACTCCACCTGTAGAGTTCTAATTATTTTTGACCCCAGACTTTGTTACCCACCTCCTTATTTTATTGTTTCAGAATATGTTATCAAGGGTGATCCAAGTAAAAGGAAGGCAACAGGTTGTCAAGTTATATATTAAACCAAGAATTAGATGCTGTATTTCGACCTAGTTTTAAGAGGATTCTGATGTGAACCTCTATGTTGCAGCATTGTTTTGCTACGGTCTCTCTTGTTGCTGATTTAACTGACTTCAGATCCTTTAACACACCATTCAACCCTGGTGATTTGAAAAACTTGAGTCTCACACTTCCTCTGTACTTTTCATGTAAGCTTTACTGCTAGAACCCTTTCTGCTGATAGTTTTGTAAGAGTTTCTTTTTAAGCATCAGATGGGTCACATTTTTGCTAACTCTTCAGTTTGTGTATGTTTTTGTTCTTTCAATTCCCAGACGTGTAAAAGAACAGAGTTACTTGCTTTGCATTGATGAACGCAGAGTGGCCGTGGCTCCCCATCTCGTTCCTAGCCTGGCCGTCTGGGGAACGTGGGGTGGAGTCACTGGTGCGCTTTCTGTGCTGTGCATTTGCACTCCCTGCAGTGTTGTTTGTCAGCTGTTCCAGGCATTATGAATACTTGGCCTTTTTCTGACTCTTCTCACAGGTGAACAGTAAATGTCAGTCTATGCCCTCTTATAGATGGGAACACACGAGTCCCTTTCCTTATCACGAGGAAACTCTTCAAAGGTTAATTGAACCATCTTCCGCATTCCATGGCATAGAAAGCCACTATTAAACAAAATGTAGAAATAATGATAGAGTTTTCTATTGATCAATACTTTGGAGTTTCTCCCCCTCTAGTTTATAAGATGATAGTTATGAGCAATAACTACTTGTAAACAGTACTTACGTATTTCTAGTAAAATGAGCACCCACTCCGTGATTTGAAAGGAGGAAATAGTCATGAGTGAAAGGGCCAAATTAAACTTTTGGAGGAAGGAACTGAAAAGTATAGAGTTGGGCTTGATAACTCATAAGATGGATAATTATGCCCAAATGATAAAAATCTGACTGGACAGTGCAATCTGTGAGCATCACGTCCTGTCTTTCTAGGGCAAGCATCCGGACACCCTCCCTGAGCTTGCTGAGCTTGCAGTCCACAAGGGTGGTGGGCCAGATGGCATTGATGATGATGGTGGCCCCAGCATTACCATGGGGGAGTATCCTCAGCACTGCCCGGTGGTGGAGGTTGGCAACCACGGATCGCGACTTCAGAGTACAGACATGGGACAACCAAAGCAGGTGTGTGCCCAGACCAGACCCAAGGCTGTCTGTCAGTTTTTCCCACACTTGAGGTAGGAGGTTCCTAATGCATGAGGTGTTCTTATTCAAAAGCGCTGCTACTCCAGGTCGTGGGAAACTTGTCCAGCCTAACTGTGACAATGTATTGCTGTTTGTGAGGCTGTGTTCTTCCTGGAAATCACATAATTTGGTCTCTATTCTAATGTAAGCCAGTGACTTTGTTTGGCATGCACATTTATAAGTAAGAGCCCCAGTAAGGTCAGAACAATTGAGTGCACAAACCTCCATAGAATCAGCATTATAGCATGGCTTGGCCAATGGTGGCCATACTCCCAAGAAAGAGGATGCATTTTACGAACATTATCAGAACAACCTCAGGATTCTTTTTGTTGGCATTTTGCTGAACAAGTATTAGCAGCACCTTTAATCTGTCATCTGAATATGCAAAAGTAAAGAAAATGTGTTTTTAATATCCTGAAACATATAGAAACAGTTTTTGATTTTCATGGCGTCACTTGAAACAAAATGTCCCCAATAAAAATATTGGATGAAATTAAAAATTAAAACACATATGAAAAGACTCGGGATTCCAATGTTATAGTAAGTGCTTGTTAGCCTGCCAAACACCACAAGCTTACATAATAAACCAAAAGCTACTGTTGGAATCATCTAGACTTTTTACATTTTCATATAAAAGATCTATGCTGGAGACTTGGAATATTGTGACTCTTAAGAAGAACCTCGTGTTAGAGCTTTCTTGCCCCAGACCTTGTCATCGAAATCCCTTCTGACCCACCTTGGTTTCTCAAAGGCTCCACCAAGTCTCACCCAAGCCCACCAAGCTGAAGATTCCCTACAGTGAGGCATGCAGGGCTGGCGTGTCTCCGCTGCAGCGGTCATTTTGGGCGAGGGGCCAGACTCTTGACACACACTGTTGCTCGTTCCTCTGCACTTGACAGCCCAGCTGCTGCTGCTGTCCACCCCACAGTCCCCCACTCCCATCCTGGCACTCATAGCCCAGAACCTCCCCTGGCAAGTGAGCATGGAGCACTGCTGTTTCTTGGAACTTTGGCTCCGAAACAAATGAAGAGCAGAGGATGTATTGAACTCAGGCTAAGGAGTAATTTTTATTTTCTTTATATTTACAAATCAGATATTCACAACAAAACCGTCTTAAATGTACCCAGTTTTCTCCCCTTTCCCCTTGGAATTATAATCCAAGAAAGAGATTATACTTTTAAATGAACTTTTCATTTCAGTTATTAGGAAATATGTCATTTCATCAGTGTCCATGGAGAGATTGTGGGTGATGCAGTGAGTTCTCTAGCAATGATCTAGTTAGAAAATAGAATGTTAATTTATAAATAATTAATAGCCTAGGATCTACTGGTTTTATTATTTCTAATGTATGTGGAGTAGTTTTATTATTTTAAAAGAGAGGTTTTACCACCTGATCTTATAAATTGTTTGTAATGAACTCACATAGGATTCTTAGATTGTCAGGTATCCATAAACTGTTAAATCAAAGAGTAAACTGTTACATCAAATATTTCTCATGGGTTCACCCAAATAGTATGGGAAGGGAGGGGGGCTCGGGTTAGGTGGGGGAATGTAACACATCTGGTTTTCTAAACAAGAAGCATCGAAAAATTTACACTTGAAGGAGAAAATAACAAAAGTCATTCATCTGGATCCTCACATTCATTGTATTTTAATAATCTGCTTTTCCCTCTCCCCTTCTCTCAACACTCATGATTAGCTATTGGCCTTTAAAACAGATTGGGGCTGGCAGGGAAGGGTCCAGGGCGTCAGAATCAGGTTTTCTTGAAATGGCATCAGCCTATATAGCTGGCAGTTAAGAGGATGGCAGATTACCTTGGAAGCCTGTGTGCCTTTCATGCAGGGACAGAAGATTAAAGAGCTTTACTGTAAGTGGCAGCTGTTTTATTAAGCTTTAGGAAATTGGCCTCTCATTTAAGGGCATAGTTACGAGATAGACCATTTGAAGGCAAGAGCAAGAATACATGTCTCACAGCTGTTGAAGCGAGGTAAGCCCTTATCAATCAGTTGCTGTCAAGGCAACTCCAACTCATGGCAACTCCCTGTGTGTGTCAGAGTAGCACTGTGCTTCATGAGATTTTCAGTGGGAGATGTTTAGAAGTCGATTCGGTCTTTCTTCTGAGGCACCTCTGAGTGGACTTGAACAACCAACCTTGTGATTAGCAGCTAAGCACGTTTATCATCTGCACCACCCAGGAACTCCTGGTCCCTTTTCAGAAACTCTGAAGCCTCTTAAGGTGATAAGCAGAATGGGAAATGTGGCAGACCTTCTTTCCCAACAATAAATTCACAAGTAACAAAGTGTGATAAGCCTTGTTCTTTGTTTTGTATCACATTGAACAATCTCACAACTGAACACAGAAAATGGCAACATTTATCAAGTCCAAAGAGATTTTAAATACACACACACATATGTATATTCTTCTCCAGTACAATAAGTGCATTCAGTCCCCAGCAATCTGCAAGAGCAGAGCTGGAAACAAACACCAGCCTGTTGTGCATTTCTCACTGATCACCAAGACACTTGCTATTTATTGCCTGATAGTTTTTGAAGCCACTATTCATAAAGCCGTTGGAGCATTTTAAAAATTTATTAGTAATTGGTGCAATGCTTTTTAAAAACCACACAATAGTTAATAATGCAGGAATCAAGGCCCAGTGGTTCCAACAGCTAGTTTTCCCAGTATTTATTAAATTTATTAAAGGAGAAGGTACTTTTTTGTTCAGTAGCATGAACAAGTGTCAATAGTAGTATCCTAATACAGATATCAGAACAAGAACTTAAGTGAAACTGAAAACCATTCGACTTCAAGCCTAACCCAGGGTCCTGTCTCAAGACTCAGTAAACACCCCTTCGGCTTTTCAAGATAGGTGCACACTTCTCTACAACGGTCATGCCTTCAGGAACTGCTCCCTAAACTAGCTTTATCCTGCTCATGCCCTTGACTTATTGGACCTGGGCTCACCTAGCAGCACCCAAGTTGCTCATTTTTCTGCTTACCCAAGTTGCAAACTCTTAAGAAAAGACTGGCTATATATATCCGGATTGTGAATCTCTTTTACTAAGAAAGCTTATTTTTACTAAGAAAACTTATATTTACTAAGAAAGCTTCTCTCTTCTAAACCCTAGGTAGTAATTACATTTCCATTTTTCATGTTGTAGCAGGTTTATATTTTAGATCCAGTTTCCACGCCTCTGCAACTTTATAATTTGACTTTTAAGGTCTGCTAATAATCTGTATCAAAGAAACCAGACCAGAGTTTTCTATTATTGTTTTTCGTCAGGTGCCATCCGGTCAGTGCTGACCCATAGCAATCTTATGCGCAACAGGACGGAATGCTGCCCGGTCCTGCACCGTCCTCGCAATTGTTCTGACGCTGAGTCCCTCATTGCAGCCATGGCATCGGTCCATTCTTGAGGGCTTTCCTCTCTTTTTCAAACATGATGTCCTTCTCCAGGGACTGCTCTCGCCTGATAACTCGTCCAAAATATGTAAGACAAAGTCTCGCCATCCTTGCCTCTACGGAGCTTTCTGGCCATATATCTTCCAAGAAAGATCCGTTGATCCCTTTATCAGTCCATGATAGTTTCAATATTCCTCTCCACCACCACAAGTCAAATGCATTGATTCTTCTTTGGTCTTCCTTGTTCAATGTCCAACTTCCACATGCTTATGAGGTGATTGAAAACACTATGGTGAGGGTCAGTGCTACCTTAATCTTCAAAGTAACATCCTTGCTTTTCAATATTCTGAAGAGGTCTTGCACAGCAGATTTAACTAATTCAATGCATCTTTTGATCTCTTGACTGCTGCTTCTATGAACATTGATTGTGGATTGAAGCAAGACAAAATTCATGATAACTTCAACCTTTTCTCCATTTATCACGATGCTTCCTGTTGGTCCAGCTGTGAGGATTTTGCTATTCTTTCTCTCTGAGAGCGACTGGTGGCTTCAAACCATTGACCTTTCAGTTAGCAGAGCACTAAACCACTCTGCCACCAGGGGTAGGATTTTGCTATTCTTTACATTGAGTTGTAATCCATACTGAAAGCTACAATCCGTGGTCTTCATCAGCAAGTGCTTCAAGTCCTCCTCACTTTCAGCAAGCAGGTTGTATCATCTGCACATCACAGGATGTTAATTAGCCTTCCTTCAATCCTGATGCCCTGTTCTTCTTCATGTAATCCACCTTCTCTGACAACTGAACAATTATGGTAAGTGGATACAACCTTGATGCACACCTTTGCTGATTTTAAACCATGCATTATCCCCTTGTTCTGTTAGCTCATTGCCTCTTGATGCATGTACAGGTTCTGCATGAGCACAATGAAGTGTTCTGGATTTCCCTTTAATCACAAAGCTACCCATGTTTTGTTATAAACCACACAGTCTAATGCCTTGGCATAGTCAGTAAAACACAAGTAAACATCTCTGTGTTTTCACCCAAGGCCCATTTGGCATCAGCAGTGCTATCCCATGTTCCACATCCTCTTCTGAATCCAGCCTGTACCTCTCTGACAGCTCCCTCACAGAGTAAAGAGAGACGGGTGTCACGTTATGCTCAGCGGGGATGGAAAAACCGGATGCAACTTACTGTATACCCTCAAGTTTAATCTTACTATCCATCCTCTGGTCCGACCAGACATTCTAAGACAAATCTACTTTCTGTAACCTACTTAAAAACTCATTATTTTCAGGTATCGTAAACCCTGACGAAGGAAGTTCACCTTTCCTCAAACCTTCTACAACTTACTGCATACTTTCAAGTTTAGCTTTGCTTTCGTTCATATTTCTGGCATAGCCAGCCATTCTACTTTCAAGTCAAAACTTTGTTATTTTTCCCTCTTTAACGAACACCATTCATTCTGCTATCATTTAAACCTGACTGTTTGGCACATTTTTCAATAGGATTGGGTAGGATAGTAAAGAACAGAGTA